CCAGTGCCGGGTCCCCGGTGTTTGTGGGGAGAGCTGTCCAGTGCCGGGTCCCGGGGGTTTGTGGGGAGAGCTGTCCAGTGCTGGGTTCCAGAATCTGCCTTTTGTTTCAGTAAGCTTGCCAAGACCCCGGAGCATGGTGCATTCAAAGCTGTGTGGCAGCCTGGGGATGTGGCTCCTGGTGCACTCAAAGCTGCGTGGCAGCCTGGGGATGTGGCTCCTGGTGCACTCAAAGCTGCGTGGCAGCCTGGGGATGTGGCTCCCGGAGCTCCGTGGAGGGCACTATCCACATCGCCAGGGCCAAAGCAGTGCGGCCCACACTCCCAGCCTGCAGCCTGCCCCAGCTCTGGGGCCGTCCTGTGGCCAGTGTGGGCAGCTGGGAACTCACCCTCTTGCCCGCCTGCGTGGCTGTCGCCTGCTGCGCCCTGCCTCGAGTGCTGAGCCACGAACCGTCCAGCCCTTTAGCGCCTACGATTCCACCTGCGGAACCGTCCGTAGGTAGTGGCCGTGGCTTCAAGTAAATCGCAGCTGACTTGCTTGCAGGCGTCCCCAGAGGACTGTGCTGCTGAGGTTGCCACGCGGCAGCGAGGGCCAACTTGCTTTAGAATCTTCCGGAAGCCAGAGACCAAAACCGACGCTTTGCTTCTCTTCTTCCACCTGTCACCCGTTTCTGAATCTCCTGCAGGTCAGGGATAGAAAAGTGGATAAAAGGCGTTTTTCAGTGTGGGTTTTGGTTCTTGCCTCTCGGTTTCTTTCGCCCGCTGAGGGCAGGCCTGGCCCGTGTCCTGCTGGCGCCGCGGGTGAAGTGGCTTGGGGACCTGTGGTTGCCCGGACTGTGGTCGCCTCGCAGGCCAGCCCTCTGCCTGCCTGGAGAACAGGCCCTCTGTCTTTATGGGATGATTAGTGCGGACAATGACCACCGCCCCTGGTGGCCTGCGAGGCAGCGGACCAGAACGGAATCCCGGCAGCATGAGAAGTCACAGAGGCGCGGATGGCAGCTGAATGGCCACAGTTACCTTCTGAATGGATTAAATTTTAAAACCTCCGTGCGGTGGGGAGGCCTTGCCAGGAGGCTTTGAGTGCAAGACAAAGTGACAATGTGGTTTTGTGTCTCCACAGCTCCGGGAGGAAGCCTGGCGGGGGTTTGCTGCCCTGGACGACCCCCTGGCCGGGCTTCTGGACATGCTGGAGAGCAGCCAGGGCCGGCGGGGAGAGGGTCCCTCCCTGGAGGCCTGGGTGTCCCACCAGCTGCAGTGCTGGCTACAGGCACAGCCACGACCGGACCCAGCCCAGGTGCGCCCATGGGCTCTGTGACCCTTCAGCACAGTGGACCTGGCACCCACCTGCCCAGGCCTCTGCAGCCCACTGAGCAAGCCGGGGAAGGGCAGGGGGGTGCTGGGGGCTGTGGTCAAGGCCCAGCCCGTGGGCTTCACCCTCAGCCCCCTGACAGCCACGTGCTGAGACCGGCCTCACCCCTTCCATGCCCCAGCCCTGCAGGCCACCCGAGGCCCATACACAGCCACAGTAACAGGTGCTGCCTCCCTGGGCCAGGCCTGCCCCAGCCAGCCCCATGGCTCTGCCCCTGGGTGCTGCGTCCAGTAAGCCCGGGTCCTGGCTCTTCCAGCACAGCCCGAGGCTGGAGCAGCTGCAGGCCCGAGCGGTCAAGGTCCTCACTGAGAGTCCCCCCAGCCTTGCAGCACCACTGGCCAGCATCTTCCAGCTACAGGATGCAGACCGGAGCTGCCTGCTGGAGCACGTCCACCGCCTCTACCACGAGGGCAGGTTCAGAGAAGTGAGTGGCCCACGTGGCTGGGCCCACGTGGCTGGGCCCACGGGGAAAGGGCTTCTCGGGCGGCGGGGCAGGGTTGCGCCTGGCTCCGGGCCGCCTGCGTGATGGGGGCTGTGTGGGGCTTCTGGTCTGCATGGAGGAATCAAGGACCTGGCAGTGGGAAGCCCATCAGCTGCACGTGGGGTGCAGAGTCCCAGGAGCCCTTCGGCTGCCTGAGCCGACAGGAATGTCAGAGCACAGCCAGTCCCAGGCCTGGTCTCCCCCACCGATTCCTGGTACCATGAGTCCTTTCCTCCCAAAGGTGACTCCTGGCCCCCATCAGGCCCTCAAACTCACAGGGTCCTAGGTGGGCCTGGCCCTGAGCTTTGGTCCAGCCACGCCCACCATGCCCGTGAGTCTCTGTACCCGAGAATCCTACACAGAACCATGCAGGCGGCTGCCCTCCGTGGGTGTTTGTTCGTCACAGCCTCCTGGGCGCTGGGTGCTGTCTGCGTTCCCTAGAAGGAAACACTCCTGGAAGAGGCTGAGCAGAGGGGCTGTGGGAGCGGCTGGTACCAGCCCTGCTGCCCACGGCACCCTGCGTGGGGCCCACTCACCGGGCACAGTGTGGAGTGGGCCGGTGCCCGGCACACAGGACGAGGCTTGGGGCCAAGGCATCAGTCGTGCCCGGCACAGCCGACCAGGCATGAAACGTGTCCGCTCAGCATCCAGCCCCTTGTCGGCTGCTGGCGGGAGAGGCGGCTTTGCTCCCTTGTGGTCGGGGGCCGGGTGTCCGCCGTGTGGCAGAAGTGTGGGTTTGGAGCTACAGGCGTCTGGATGAGAACTGGTGGAATGCTAGGAAGCATGGAGGTTTGCTGAGCCTCCTTTGTGAGCAATGCTGACTCTTAAGCCCAGAGGATTCCAAGAGGAAGACCAGGCCCTGGAGTCACAGCCACCGCCCCCCAAGCCTGGCCAAGCTGGGACGGGTTTGTGGGGAGCAGTGGGGAGTGGTGGGGCCTGCAGTGAGTAGGGAGGCGGCCACCTTGCGTGGGGTGGCTCTGAGCTGTTCCTGCATCGACGGGCCCCTGGGAATTCTCAGTGCCCTGAGATTGCAGATCCCCGAGCACATTCCAGGGTGCAGTAGGAGGTGCAGCAAAGAAGACCAGCAGTGCCCTTCCTGGGGGTGCCCTGCCTGGGGGTGTCCTTCCTGGGGGTGTCCTGCCCGGGCGTGTCCTGCCCGGGGGTGTCCTGCCCGGGGGTGCCCTTCCTGGGGGTGCCCTGCCCAGGGGTTCCCTGCCCGGGGGTGTCCTTCCCAGGGGTGCCCTGCCCGGGGGTGCCCTGCCCGCCTGGGGGTGTCGTGCCCCGGGGTGTCGTGCCCGGGGGTGTCCTTCCCAGGGGTGTCCTGCCCGGAGGTGTCCTGCCCGGGGGTTCCCTGCCCAGGGGTGTCCTGCCCGGGGGTGTCCTGCTTGGGGGTGCCCTGCCCGGGGGTGTTCTGCCTGGGGGTGACCTGTCCAGGGGTGCCCTGCCAGGGGTTGCTCAGTCCAGGGGTGCTTGGTTCAGGGTACACTGATGATGTATAAGTAGGCTGGCATTCGGGGACATCAGTCCGCCCCCTGCCTTGTCAGGGCCCTTCAGGGACATGCTGCTGAGACGCAGGGCCCCGCGTGGGGGCGGAGGCTGTCCCGACGGCACCCTGGGTTCCTCTTTCCAGCGAGAGCCCCTGGCCATGAGGAGCCGCATTGGAACCCGGGTGCAGGCATCGGGGCTGCCTGGCTGGGCCCTCGGAGGAGTGAGCCGAGCGTCGGCCGCCCCGGCCCCACCCCGCACTGTCGCGGCCTCTCACGGCTGGTGCGTGGCGCTGAGAAGCCACGATGGCCGGCGCGGGACAATGCCGGACGGAGGGTCCGCTCATGTGGCGCGACGCATTCTGCGCTGGCTGAATGGCGGCCGGGCCTGGACAGTGCAGGGAGGCAGAAGGCAGGCTAGGGTTTCGGCCGTCTTCTGTTACAGAGCCTTTCAAAGGCTGTCTGGGGCCGGCTGAATGTGCCTTCCTCACGCTCCGAGGCAGGAATCCCCACACAAAGGGGGTCTTGTCCCGCACAGGCCCCTTCTTCGAAGAAAGCCATTGTCCCCAGCGGGGCCGCCCGGCAGGCGATGCATGCTCCAGTGCCCACCGCCGCGCCCGGCCGAAAGGGGCCGCATTCAGGCCTGTCCGCTCGGATTAGCTGGGACTCACCACTCAATGTGCTGCGATATTTCATGTCGAGGGCAGCGGCTGGCTCTGGGCGGGATGAATGCCTGCTTTTGTCCGCTGAGTTATTTTATTTACATTTTTTAAACAGCTTATCAAGGTAAAAAGATAGCTTTGCTTTAAAAAAAAAAAAAAAAAAAAGGCCATCTTGGCTCCAGGCCCACGCAGAGGTGGGAGGCAGGGCCGTCACTGGGTTCCTCAGCCACTAAGCCTGGCACCTGCCAGCCTTCCTGCCCCTCCGAGTGGGGGCCCAGGGGAGCCAGGGAATGCCCTTCCCGATGGTCAGCACCACAGCCCCTCTGGATTTTCTTGTTCTTTTTTTTTTCCCTGAAAGCCATGGCTCCTGGGCCTGTGTGGCCAGAGGTTTCTGCAGCCCCTCCGCCCCCCAGCTGGACGCCTTAGCCCTCTCTTGCTAGTGGGTGCCTCCCATCCTCCGGGCAGCCGAGGTCAGGAAGTGCCGCCTGGTGCAGGGTGGGCTCAGTGTGCCCATCTGTCCTCACGGCCCAGCCCCCAGCTCATTTCTCCCTGAGGTCCCCGACTCTTCACCTTCTGTCTGCTCCCTGAGCCTGGCTCTGGGGCCGGGTGACCTTTTCGTGCCTGCTGAGTCTCCCAAGTGGCCAGGCATGGGCAGTGGGCAGCTGCACACCATTCTCCCAGGGAGGTTTAGACAAATGACCAGACGCTGATTCTAAGCCAGGCAGGATCACAGTGAAAGGGCCATGCAGGAGCCCCAGGGCCTGAGATGGGGGACAGGCCAGGGAGCTTCCTGGAGGGGTGGGTCTGCCGCCTGCCACCCCCAGTCCACATTCCCCATCACCAAGGCCACCCATGGAAGCCAGGCACTGCCCTTGTCACGGTGGAGCTGAGGGAGTGCCATCCTTGTCCTGTCCCCTGAGCTGCTAGGCCCCTAGCCCCCACCAGGCTCCAGGTACAAACGTGGACATAGGAGCTGGGGGCCCCAGGACCCCTGCATGTCCAGAAAGCCCCCCTGGCCACAAGAGGCCCTGGGTGCCCAGAGAGCTCCTGCGGGCCCAGCAGAAAGGTCCAGACACCGGATTGCCCTGGGCTCTGAATGGCCGTGGAGAAGAGAAAGGCTCAGCTACGTACCTTGACCCCCTCTGACAGGGTCACAGGGTAGCCGGGGTCGCAGCCTGTGGGACAGGGAGGCCAAGCTGCCCACCTGGGGAGCACTGCTGTACCCAGCCCTGCCCAGGTTCCTCCCCAAACCTGAGGCCTTCTAGGGCTTGGAAGGGTCATGTTTGGGGGGGACCCGCCAAGGGCTACGGCCTGGAGCCTGAAGTCTGTCCTCAGAGGGAGGCCGGGTGCAGCAGCAGTGAGGGGATACCTTGGCCACCTGCCCTGGCTGGGCCCCCACCCCCTCCCACCTGCTGAGGGCCTGGTCCTAAGGACGTGAAGGACGAAGCCCCATCCTCCACCCCCCTGCACCTGACAGTGCCCACATGGGGTGGGAGGGGCAGAGGGAGGGGGAGTCGTGACCACCCCATGGTTCTGAACACAGTGAGGTGTCCGGGCCTGCACTCCCGCCTTCCTGGGTTCTGGCAGCTTCTCAAGGGTATCCCTGATCCAGAAGGGGTCAGGGCCCTTGTGAGAAGCTGCGGGTGTCACTGCTGGGGTGGTCCCCGCGTGGTGGCCCCTGCGCCCAGCCCTATGCCCACCTCCCGGGCCCGGCGCCCCTCCCCACTGCCCCTCGGTCCCACCCTTCGGCCCTGAGACCCCGCCCCGGCCCTGCGCTCCTCCCTGCAGACCCGAGATCCCTGCCCCGGGCCCTCCGCCCCTCCCTACGGCCCGGAGATACCCGGCCCCCCTCTCCCCGGCCCTGCGCCCCTCCCCAAGGGCCTGAGACTTCCTCCCCGGGCCCTGCGCCCCTCCCTGTGGCCCCGAGACCCCAGCCCCCGGCCCTGCGCCCTGCGGGCCTGCTGGAGGCCTAGCCTCTTGGACCCCGGCCAGGCAGTGGTGGCGCCGGGTCAGCGCTGCGCAGGGAGAGGCCCCCGGACCGGCGCCCCCACCCCGCGCACGGGGGCTGGAAGCCGGAGCCGAGGCTTTCCCAGGCCGCTATTTTGGTCCTTTCTCTGGGCTGCGCGGGGGCGGGGCGCCGGTGCTCCGCGGGCTGCTCTCGCGGGTCGTTTTTGCTGGTTATGGGAGCGCGTCTTATGGAAATTATTAATAGCCGCTCGGGCCCGCGGTACGTGCGGGCGCTCAGGGCCCTCCGTGCCCCGTCGCAGCGGCGTGGCCTGGGAGCGCTCGCGGGGTGCCCGTCGCCCGCCTCGTGGGAACAGCTAGGACCTCCCAGGCGTCGGGGTGTGCTGAGACCCTGCCCTGGGGTCCTCGGCCCTGGCCCCTCTGCCGTGGACGCCAGGACTGGGCCCCGCATGTGGGTCACGTGGGAGGCCACGGCTTTGCCCCTTGCTTCGAGCCCACCTCCTTGCCCTCCGCGGGCTCGTCAGCAAGCCCTGAGCCAGGCCCTGTGGACCAGGCTGCGTGGCCAGCACCGCACGAGTCCCTGCTGCCCCATTTAGGACCAGCCTGGGCCTCCCGCCTCTTCCAGCTCATGTGAGGCCGGGCCTGGTGGGGCTCAGCACAGGGCGCTTGTCTGCCAGGCCAGGCCCCTCAGCCTGAGGGCCACGTGGGTGGACACGGGGAGGCCCCACAGTGCGCCGCAGGGACCACGCGCTGTGCAGAAGGGTGATGGCCCCTCCCAGACCCTGAGTAATCTGTGCCTTTGTGTTTGCCAGGCAGTCATGCTGGGCACGACGTTGAAGCTGCAGCCAGAACTTGATGTTGAAAAGGTGAATGTCTTTCTCATGTAAATCGTTTAGGTTCAAACTTGGATAATGCCCAGGTTTCCAGGAACAGTGTTGGTGGAGGTGGGGAGTCCAGCGAGCCACAGGGAGAGGAAAGCAGGGCCATCGGGAGCCCCCAGACCAGTCCTGCTGGTGGGCTGACCCCAGCCGGGCGCAGCCGCACGTCCAGACACCCCATGCCCAGCGGTCCTCGGAAGCCCTGAGTGCTCTGTGCAGCAGCCAGGCCACCCCTTCCCTGGAGTGGCCACCAGGTGCCTCTCAGGACACGCAGCCCGCGTACTTCTGGGACCCTCTTCTGCTCCTTGTCTCCACTGCGCAGGGGCTAGGGGAGCAGTCACCTGTCTAACGGACTTTCCAGACAAACTTCCACACGGGGAACTCTGTCCCCACCACGGGGACACAGGTGGAACTGGGGCAGGGCCAGGTGGGGACAGGATGCATCCTGGTCTCCCTAAAGAGGGAGGGAATCCTCACCACAAAGGCCTCGGCCCTGTGCTCTGGGGACAGGTGCAGACTCCAGGTCTGCAGGAGCTGGGGCCGGAGAGGGTTCTTGGGCTTTGCCTTCTGCCCGAGACCTGTCCCTGAGGGCACCGCCATGTAGGTGGGCCCCATGCAGTCCGGCTCCAGGCAGCCTCACCTGTGAGGCGGAGGAGGTGGGGAAGGGAGGTGAGGAGACTTCTTTGAGAGGCTCTGTCTAAGGGGCCTGGTTCTTGCTGAGGGAATGGCTGGCGTATCCCAAGACCCAGCACCACAGCCAGGGAGTCCCCACCCTGGGGCCTCCTGGAGGCCCCAACAGCCTGTGGGGCGTGAGGGCCCCTCGGGGGCAGTGCTGGTGTCACGTGCTTGGTTTGTCTCAGTCCTGCCTCCCCAGGTTTGGTGACAAATGAGCTTCCCAGGGTCCCCCTGCCTCTTAGAGCCTCCAGGCCTTCATGGAGATGGGGGTGGCCATAGAACCTACCAGAAGCCTGGGGCAGGTGTGTGTGAGCACAAAGGCAGGCCGGGCCCCTTTAGTTCTGACACTGCGGCTGCTAACTGGGTTGGTGGGAGGTGACGGAGACTGTGGCCTGACCGTGCATCTCCCCCGCAGATGAGCGTCCCACTGCTCCTCCAGGACAAGGTGGCCCTCGTGGAGCGCTATGTGGCCGGCTTCCCAGACCTCCAGAGGAGGCTGCTGGCCCTCATGGACTCCTGGTGCCAGCCTGGCTTTGACATCAAGGATGTTGCCAGGTGAGTCCCGTGGACGCCGACAGCTGGCACCAGATGGCACCCTGGTTGAGGGGGCAGCGTGGCAGCAGGCACGTGGGAGAGCTCTCCCAGGAAGTTCTGATGTTTGGGACACGGCTGCATGTTACTGCAGCCAGGCGGCTGCCTCTGGAGGAGAGGCTGGGGCTGGCAGGAGCACTGCTGTCTTCCCCCAAGCAAAAGAGTTACCTGTTCTTAGAAAGACGGAAGCGATTCTCGGTGGCTCACACTGGTAATCCCAGCACTTTGGGAGGCCAAGGCAGGTGGATCACCTGAGGTTGGTAGTTCAAGACCAGCCTGGCCAACGTGGAAAAACCCTGTCTCTACTAAAAATACAAAAATTAGCCAGGCTCAGTGGCACGTGCCTGTAATCCCAGCCACTTGGAGGCTGAGGCAGGGGAATCGCTTGAACCCAGGAGGCTCTGCAGTGAGCCAAGATTGCGCCGTTGTACTCCAGCCTGGGCAACAAGAGTGAAACTCCGCCTCAAAAAACAACTAAAAGAAATATACATGGAAACTGGGAGGGTGAGGAAGACCCTGCAGTGTTAGATTTCATTGCAGGTACTGGTTTAAATTAATGATTTTTAAAATTTGTCCTAGCTCTGTGCTCTGAAAGGGCCTGGATGCAATGGCACCCCATAGCAATGAGCACACCTGGCTGCCAGCTCAGTCACCAGGTGCCATTCCCCACCGAAAGAAGCAAGGGCTTTTGGAGAATGGGCTGAGTGTGGAAGTGACAGTGGCAGTGGAGTATAACACCTTAACTGTTGGAGGCCCACGAGTCCACATTCATGCCCAAGGGAAGAGGAGGGAAAACTCTTCTTTATAATGTGTTCCAGCTCTTAGCTGAGAAAGGAATGATACAATTAAAAATCACCATTTTGCAGCTCTCAATAAAGTCATAGATTCAGGAGCAGATCATCAAGGGACGCTAAGAAAGAAAGGGGTAAAATGTGAGTGACCGGCATCAGGAATGAAAGGGGCTTATTACAGACCTTGCAGATATTGACAGGGTAGCAAGGGGATGTTGTTTGCAACTTAATGCAAATGTACTTGACCATTTAGATATAATAGGCCACATTTTTGAAAAATACAATTTACCCAAACTGACACTAGCAGAAATAGAATATTTAAATAGTCCTATAGGGCCACTAAGTAAGTTGAATCCATAGTCTAAAGCTTTATTACAGAGAAAACTTTATTAGAACCTAGATGGTGTCAGCAGTGAATTTCTCAAACATTTAAGAAAGAAAGTGCTTCATGGTCGGGTGCAGTGGCTTGCCCCTGTAATCCCAGCACTTTGGAAGGCTGAGGCGGGCAGATCGCCTGGGGTCAGGAGTTCGAGACCAGCCTGACCAACATGGTGAAACCCCATCTCTACTAAAAATACCAAAATCAGCCGGGTGTGGTGGCGTGCGTCTGTAATCCCCTTAAACCGGGAGGCAGAGGTTGCAGTGAGCCGAGATCACTCCGCTGCACCCCAGCCTGGGCGACAGAGTAAGGCTCCATCTCAAAAAAAAAAAAAAATGCCGGGCACAGTGGGTCACACATATAATCCCAGCACTTTGGGAGGCAGAAACAGGCAGATCACGAGGTCAGCAGATCGAGACCACCCTGACCAACATGGTGAAACTCCATCTCTAGTAAAATACAAAACTCAGCCAGGCATAGTGGCATGCACCAGTGGTCCCAGCTACTCAGGAGGCTAAGGCAGGAGAATCGCTTGAGCCCAGGTGGTGGAGGTTGCAGTGAGCTGAGATCGCACCACTGCACTGCAGCCTGGCAACAAAGAGTCCATCGGAGAGAGACAGAAAGTGAGGAAGAGGGAAGGCTGGAAGGGGGAAGAGGGGAAGGGGGCAGGGGTAAAAGAAAGGAAAGAGAGAAAAGAAAGAGGGAGAAGGAGGGAGGGGGGAGGGAGGGAGGGAAGGAGAAACCCATCGTGCATGAACTCT